ACTAGAACAGTCAGGGAGTTCCCCAAACCCAGACGTGACTTGTTTTCTATTTCTGGCTTAGCCACATGATGCCTGGGAGTTTCAAGCATTCTGAGCATCCAGATTCACGCTGGAACCATCTCATCTAGAGTGAGGGAGGGAGGGGGAACATGCATTTTGGATCAGCCCGCTGGGCTTCAGAACAAGGAGAGGAAATTCTTCACCCCTGCTGAGTTCTAGCATCAAAGGGCTGCAAAGAACCTAGAGACCATGAAATCCAGCGGTGCTCAATGCACTGCCAGGAGAACGGAGGTTTAAGGGAACAAAGAAGATGAAGACTATCTGCATTGTTCTTTTTCTCCTTTGCTTCTTTTTTCCACAGTTACCCTGGAATAGGTCAAACATGTGCACAGGACATGAATGTCAGGGGTGTCCCCCACCACACTCCCCTGCCACCCCCACCCCTGCCACCGCCAGGCCTGGCACAGAGTTTATGCTCAATAAAGGTTCAGCAAACGAACGAACATCAGCGATTTCTTAGTAGGCAACTTTGGGGAAGATTCCACTTCCTCTAAAATTAAAAACAACAAAAAAATGGTATCAATTTTGGAGGGATAATGTGTGTGTGTGTGTGTGTGAGAGAGAGAGAGAGAGAGAGAGAGAAAGAGAGAGAGAGAGGGAGAGAGAGGGAGAGAGAGAGAGAGAGAGAGAGAGAGAGAGAGAGAGAGAGAGAGAGAGACTGCACTACCCATACCAAATGGGTATTTGTTCCAAGACGCTTTTTTTAATGAAAAAAAATTTTATATATTCACCTTGTAAACAATATGCACTATAATCTTGGTTGTGTCTGTTGGATTTGCTCAAAGAGCCAGGCCCTTGCAGGGAAATGTGCTTGCGGTTTCCTTCTGCCAGGTCACCAGTAAGTGGCCGTTTTCCAAAAGGTGAACCTTTTAATACATGTCTGCATAATCTAGCCTAAAATCCTAGTTAGTATTCCAGCAAGATGTCTCCTAATTGAGGTAATTTCTAAGAAGATATTGCTAATAGTTCCCTTTTCAACAAATAAAGCAATAACAAGTGCCACTTTTTAAACATCTATCATGTGCCAGGTACTTTAGTGGCCCTAACTCTTCTTTAATTCTCATTTTCACCTTCATGACAACACTATAAGGAAAACATGCCGAGTACACAGCTAAAAAAAACTGAGGCTAAGAGACAGGAAAATGTCCAATGTTACAGAGCCAGTAAACAGGCTGAGCCGGCATTTGAGTCCCAACGGAAAGTTCAAGCGTTGTATACAATGTCTTGTTAATCTCAGATTAAAGCACCTACTTTCTTGTTAGTATTTTTCCATGCACGGAATACTTCAAGGGATTTATTTTTTGCCACTAGGGACACGAAACAAGGAAATGGAGAACCTCTATCCTGTCTCAACTTTATCACGACCATTTTACAAATTCATTGAGGCTCAACGGTTACATCTACTAAATGGGCATAACTCCCTCCCAACCACCTCTCAGGACTACGGCCAGAAACCTACGGAACCCGAAGTGCATTTTCCCCCAGAACTGTCAGAGGCCAGCACATCTTCCTGCAAGATGTCAGCCTTAGAGATCTTTTAAAACACTCCCCTGGGCAAGCAGCCCAACCCACCATACCATGCTGGAAGGAGTCACCTCCTAAAATAAACCCTGCTAACTTGAGTTAGCTCACCATAAAGACTATATATAGAAGAAAACACTAAAGAGCTCCCATTTGGCAGGAGCTTCTCCAAAACTCAGCCCAACTGCCTAATTTCTAACTTAATCTGCAACATCTGAGAGGCAGCTCTAAATCAGGGAGGCCTGTGGAGAGACGGTAAACCCCTCTGGGCCAGCACAGGCTGTCTGGGCAGCGACACCCCAGGGCTTCTGAGCAAATTAGCACTGCATGAAATGGGAGCTTGTCCCAGCGAGGGTGCAGGAGAGAAATTAGACAGGGTGTGTCCCGGGTGAGCATGCCCCAGGGGCTGCTGTGAATTCTGAACCTTGGTGTCTTCTGAAGCTCATGTTATCCAGGGGAATGGCAACTAGTAACCAGTTAGGCTCTGAGCTTCCCCCATCTGTGAAATGAGGGATATGACTCAGTGTGACACAAATACACACACACACACACACACACACACACACACAGCCACACTTGAAAATGTTGGTATTTCCCCCAGGAAGGATATATAAAAAATCATTAGCAATGATTTCTTTTAAGAGAACTTGCAAAAGGTAAAAGACAGAGAATCCTCCTCATTTTATATTATTCTTTCATGGGTGAATTTTCTCATCACATGCTTATGCTTCTATTTAAAAAGCAAATGCTACTTAAAAATGGAAGGGGAATACAACAGTTTCTCAAAATATTAAAAATAGAATCCCATATAATCCAGAAATCCTACTGCTGGGTACCTACCCAGACGCATTACTAGCGGGGGCCTGCACAGGTGTGTGCCCGCCCGTGTACACAGCAGCATGACTCGCAGTGGCCGGAAGGGGCAAACAGCCTAAGTGCCCACCCACGAAGGTCAGGATGGCAAACAAAATGTAGCAAGGATACACAACGGACAGTTTCAGAGGAAGGGAGTTCTGACACATGCTACGAGGTGGATGAAATCTTGAAGACATTATGCTGAGTGAAATAAGTCAAATGCAAAAAAAAAAAAAAAATGCTGTATGACTTCACTTACGTGGGGTACCCAGAGTAGTCTAACTCATAGAGACAGAAAGTAAGGATGGTGGTTTCCAGGGGCTGGAGAGGAGGAAAGAGGGGAGCTATAGCGTAGTGGGTCCCGGGTTTCAGTCTGGGAGGATGACAATGCTCCGGAGATGGACGGTGGTCATGGCTGCACAACAATGTGAATGCACTTGAATTGCTGAAACGGCAAACTTTATGCTACATACATTACACCACAGAAAAAAAGACAGACAAAACAAATGGAAGGATAAAACCGAAACCAATAAAAACAGGTACTTATGGGTAAAGGGAGGAAATGGGTGGAAATAAGAATTTTTCAAATCTCTCTTTTTTTGTACATTTGACTTTGGGAACCATGTAGAGGATTTACCTAATTATAAAACATTTTTGAAGAGGAAATACATTAAGAATTATTGGGGCTGAGGAATTATGGGCAGCTTTTGTTTACTTTTGTAAACTTTCCCTATAATTAACAAGTCAAATTTCCCAGTGTACATCCATATAATGGAATGTTACTTAGCAATAAAAGGAACAAATTATCGATGATTGGTTCATTAGTATGGATCAATTTCAAAATAAGTATGTGCAGTAAAGGAAGCCAGACCAAATGGTGCATGCTCCGTGATTCCATTTATACGAAATTCCAAAAAATGTAAACTCATCCATAGGGACACAAAGTACATCAGTAGTTGCCCGTGGCTGGGGTTTGGGTGGGGAGGTGGGTATTTAAAAGGGAATTTTTGGGGTGATGTTCATCATCCAATTATTGGGGTGATGGTGTCACAGGTGGATACATATATCAAAATTTATCAAATTTTACACTTTAAATATGTGCAATTTATTACAAGCCAATGATACCTCAATAAAGCTGGATAAAAATTTTAAATTACATAATGCTATTCAATTAAAAAAAGAACTAATAAAAGGCAATGCCTTTAAAAATGAAATGAGTTAGTTGGATTAAAAAATTTCTAACATCCTGGCTTCGGCGGTCTATGAAATTATGCTCCGACATAAACAGCAATAGGCAGAGAAGATTTCACAGTCTCTCGTGTCAGCAGAGCACAGCCCAGACGGCAAGGCACGGCGGGAAGGTTGGCATCTCAGGACCCCCGGCAGGCCAGCTGAGAGTATGGCCAGCCCATGGGAGATGAACTTGGCCCTGTGGAGGAGCCGGTCTGGCTGCCCCTGAATGCCCCATATACTCGTGAGTCAACCAGGATACCCACGCACACGCCCCAAGTGGTAACAGTCCCCACATGGGCACCCGCTAAACCAGAGATCTTGTGCAAGGAGCTTTAGTGCATTACCTCCTAGAGACCCCAAAAAGGAATTACTCTCATTCCCATTTCCAAGGTGAAGAAACGGAGGCTCAGAAAAATGAAGCGACTTACTCAGGGTCTCGATCACTGGCAAAGGCAGAATTTGAAACCAAGAGGTTTGACTGCAGAGGACAAATTCCAAACCACTATCCCATCCTGCCTCCCAAGGTAAAGCCATGCCTTGCCCCCTGCCCTGACACCCACCCTACTCACTCCCAATGAGCTGGGGGCAGAGACTTTTCATTTTGGTGGAAGGAGAAAAGCCGGGTTTCCTGCGGAGAGTGTTGAGAAAGACACAGGCAGGATCCTTGTGCAGAGACAGGCAGTCCCTTCTACACCATGGTCACCGGGGCAAACAGGGGCAACGCACTGAGGCTCCCTCTTGCATTTGCACAGCCTGCTCTCTCCGCCAGGAGTACCGTCTCCTCCTCCCCAGCTGGAGAATTCATGCCTATCCTTCCCAGCGCAACTTGGACTTTTTCTTCAAAACCTTTCCTGACTCCCTGAAGATAAGCAGAGCACCCCCTCCCCCCCTCCTTAGCTGGCTGTGGTCACCACCACTCCTGGGTCTTGTTATTATTTCTTCCTAAGCCTTCATCTTCCTCACTCCACGGTGAGATTTGAGATTCACGGTGGCTGGGTCTTACCCACCCCTGTTTTCCCAGAACCAAAACAGCGTTCCTAACATACGGTCCTTGCATAGCAAATGTTGACTTTTGATGGCAATAATAAGATGAATAGTTTAAACACAATGAATATTTACATTTTAAGCACTGAATTAAGAAGCAGCTTACGTCAAAGGAAGGGAGTAGCATCTTTCCCTGTCTTGGGCCCTGGAGACAGGCCAGGGTGTGTTTTCCAACTCAGCTACTGTGTGACTCCTAGCAAGATTTTATCCTGTCGGAGCCTCGCAGCTTCCTTCCATGAGGTGGGGATGACATTAGGATTGACCTCTGAAGGTTGCCGTGGCCTCACCTGGGCTACTGACGTATGCAACGTGCTTGGCATGGAACCTCGGCTCACACAAAGCGGTTCCAGTTCTGGGCCCCACACACCAGAATGAAGGCACATCCGTGTGAAGACAGTGGGACAGAGCAGTCACTCCTCCTCCTGTAGGTATGGAAGGGAAATACTGACCATGGGGAATATGTAACAGAGAGAATGGCCCGAGGGGAAGAAAAAAAAGCAAAAACATATTTACTATCCATTTCAAACTTCGCCCACTATTTTTAGGAACTGCTGCCTGGACTGCATCCCTAAGGCAGGGAGATGGTCTTTTCTTCTCTGTGTTACAGGAGACATCTCAGCCATCCCAGGCTGGAGCCAGCCCCCCATGTGGGCCCAGGGGGGCGGAGGTCACAGGCTTTGTCTTCAGCAGAGATGGGATGATGAGAATCATTTACATAGTAGCCTAGAAGGAAGGGCCCTCCCTTTAAAAGATCTGTATTTCTGCTTACGTGCAGGAAATTTTTGGATTTTGCCATTTTTCCTCCTTTGCGAACAAAGTAACAGATTTCTCTTTCCTTCTCCTCAAACCACTTGTTCTTGCTCTGATGCGGCCTTGAGGACAAGTGCCAAGCTACAGATAACAAAAGTGGCACTATAGGACCAATCTCAAGTAAATAGGTGGTTTTGTTAATTTCTTCCCCCTTATTTCCCACCAAGTTCTGAAAGACCTTGGGCCCAGGCCCACTCTAGTCTCTCAGCTGGCCAGACCTCATTTTCAGGGGCTCTCAGACAAGAAGTCACTGACTGGTCACCCACTAGTTAAATCTGGCACTCAGATATATTTTGTTTTGACCTGCAAAGTGTTTTTAAATTTTTCAATGACTTACAAATGTCTGAAACTCAGGAAGACCAAGTGTTCAAATTCTGGATGCATGACCTTCCTTGTAAAATCAGACCAGGCCACACTGGCTCCATATTTTGAACTGGCTAGAGCTGACGTCTGCTTTACATAAGGTGTGGGCAACCCCAGGCCCCACGAGGCCGACACACTCCAAGCCTGCTCTGCCCAGAAGGCATCTAACTTCACAACTCCCTGCCCTAGGGAAGGGATTTGGCCAGAAATGGGCTGTTTTGTTCAGCAGAGTGGTTAGCTTAAGGCAGGCAGTAGCTCTGAGTGTGTGTAAAAAATCCATATTCCAAACCCATCCGGCTTCTCTTTCACATCACCGGTATGTAAAGACATGGATGAATAAATGGTCCTGTTTAATAATAAACTAACCATGTCGTCGCTGCCTCTCTCACGGAGAAAGCTAAAAATAAATCACTCAGAGCAGAGCATATCAATCTGCACCTGGCAGAAGGGTATCAGGTGGTGTGTCCTCGTCCTAGCATCAGGCCTGGAAGAATCCCTGGGTTCAGGTGGCTGCCGAGTCCTCGAGGGGTGCAGCAGCTGCTCAGAGCCCTGGGCCTGAAGGTTCTCTGCATTCACGCAGGTTCAAAGAGTGAATATCTCTATGGCCACAGGAAGAAACAAACTTGTTCATGTAAACTCACCTTCATGTCTCCTCTCAAGTGTCACCTCTTCACAGAGATGACAGGTAGGTTAACCTAGTAAAACCTAGTAAAAGCAGACCCTCACTGTCTGCCCTGCCTGCCCCTGTAACACACATAGACACATGTGCACGCACATACACACGCATGCATACTCTACCGTCAGCATCCCAGGTGAGCGCTTCTCCCAAGCTGCAATGTCTTATTATTTGTTCTTTTGTGCACTGCATTGCCTCTCTTCACCTAGATGGCATGCTCTGCGAAGGCAGCAACCTTGTCTGATTTGGTCTGCTTCCAACTAGCTGTCTGTTTCTGGAACCACACACAGCACTTGGCACCAAACAGGCCCTTACAGAAAATTTGCAAATGCATCTTTGACACAGTATAGGGTTTTCTGTACCGTTTCCAAACTTCCTATGCCGATACGCTAGTTTCAGGATTTTTGCCATATTTCTGTACCACCCATACAGTAACTAGTAATTTCTACAATCAACTCTCACTTTTTATGGAAATATATCTATTTTAAAAATAAAACTGCATGGCAGTATGTTTAGGCAACAGAGAGACACGTGCAATTGGTGAACTTCGGAGTTGACCACCACTTAAGAGCATTGCGACCGTGAACAAGTGAGTTAAGTACGTTGTGCCTCAGTTTCCTCATCTGTAAAATAGGACTGACAATAGTACCTAGCCCTGTAGAGAGGCTGTTCAAGAGTACATGAGTTAAAACATGTCAAGTTAATTCATGGCAAGTGCTTCAAATAGTGCCTGGCACAGAGTAAGCACAGCATGATTGCTGCTCTTGTGTTAGTATTATTTAAGGGAAAAACCAGCATCACTTGCAATATAAACACATGACAATTAAAAGGGAAAAAATGTCACTTATGTAACCGCTTAAAAACACTTTTGGAGACATAGGATAAGCCTGCACTTTGCCACTGCCCAGATTTGAAAAGCCCGAATCTCCCATCTTTTAAATGAAGCTGCTGGGCCAGGCACTCTAAGACTCCATCCACCTTCTAGTTCTGAATCTCTGACTCTTCAATCCATGGGTGACGCTACCTTAAAAGAAATGAAAATTGGAAAACTTGAAGTTCCACAATAGAAGCAAAAGGGGGTGGGGAGGGTATTCACGTTCATAAAGGATTTGCTTTTACAAAAGGATTAACAGCAGAGTTGCTTTAAATAGCAGCTTAAGCCTTGTTTATGGATTACTAAATACTTGATGGAGAGGTGGAGGAGCCCAGGAACTTGGGAACAAAAGCATGATTAGGCCCAGGCAGAAATGAATGCATGTGTATGTTTTCTTTAAAATTATAACCAGTATCAACAGGAGAAATTATGCCACTTCAAGGAAACTGATTCCTACTCAATAATTTGGTTGCATGTCAACTGCATTAAAGAAGGTCCACCCGTATCGATGGACCAGTTCAGAGGAGTAATCTAGTGTACATATTTTTAAACCCTTAAGAACTACGGTCCCCAACCCCTGGGCCGTGGCCCAGTACCAGTCTGCGGCCTGTTAGGAACCGGGCCATGAGCTCCACACCCCACATCACCCATGGAAAAATTGTCTTCCATGAAACGTAGGAACCAGGCCAAACAGCAGGAGGGGAGTTGCAGGCAAGCGAGGGAAGCTTCATCTGCATTTACAGCTGCTCCCCATTACTCACATGACCACCTAAGTTCCGCCTCCCGCCCCACCCCAACCCCACTCAGTGGAAACACTGTCCTCCATGAAACTGGTCCCTGGTGCCAAAAAGGTTGGCGACCGCTGCCTAAGAGCACTGACAGTTTATTAAATGCAGCAAGCACTTGCAGTGTGCCAGGCACTGTTGAGCACATGACATCATGCATCACTTCCTCTGATCTTCACAGGGATCCAATGAAGCAAGAGTCATGGTTATCATTTTACAGAAGAAGAAACTGAGGCTAAGAGAGGGGAAATGACTCGCCCACAGCAAGTGTATGCAGGATATTCAAGCCAAAGTACAGAAACCAGGCACTGAGGTTAGATTATAAAAGATCTGTTCCTCAAGGAGGACAAAGGTCAGCCACGAAGGTCAAAAGACACAGGAAGAATGATAAACGAACAGAAGAAGAGGATACCAAAGGTTCAGGGTGTGCCACAGCCAGGTGTGACCCCAACTGACACCCCCAGGCATTAGCCCATACTCAGGTGTCTCTCAACACTCAAGGTCTAGATTCCTCTTCTCCATCTTTAATGTGCAGAGACACTGTCATGAGAACGTCCCTGAGCACAAACCAATCTGTCCTGGGCAACTCTGTGCCCAAAAGGTAGGCTCTCCTAGCGTCCACGCACGCTGCCTTTCTAGGCTACCTGAGCACTTCCCACTGCCTCATCTTCCTCCCTTGAAAAATGGGGATATTAGCTACCCCCACCTCCCTTGGCAGGGAAGCAGCAGTGATTAATTAGGTAACATCTGTGCAGCACTCCCGGCTTTCTGGAGAAGGGCACCTTGGGAGAGGAGCTATAAAAACACCGAGGCGCAGGCTATTATCAGCATGGTCATTATTATTATCATTGTCATCATGACATTCTCCTGCCCAAAGACCTGCAGTGGCTCCCCACTGCCCGGAGAAGAAGGTGCAGTTGGCAGCCTGGCAGGCAGGGCCACTGGAGCCGCCACTGACTGCTCTGTCTCGTCCCCACTCATCTGCACCCCATAGTCCCCTACGGGAGGGTCCTGCAGTCCCCACATGGAACCCATGCTCCAGGGAGCAGCTCCAGACCTGCCTGGTCCAAGTGCTCTTCCTAACATCCGAGCAGGAAGCTCAACATCTGTCTGTCCATTTTTGTTGCAGTCCTCATTATTTTTCTACTTCTGAGGATTTTATTTGTACACATGGGTGTGTACAAAATGGTGACCTTGCACGAGTTTCTCTTTTTCTAGAGCTCTAAAACAAAGATGCTATACAAACCATGACTACTGAGTATCTTATACTGATGCTCCCCAACTTATGATGGGATTACAGGCAATAAACCCACTGTAAGTTGAAAATGTCATAAGTCAAGAATGCATTTAACCTACCAAACATCACAGCTTAGCCCAGGCTCCCTTAAACGTACTCAGAACACTTACCTTAGCCTACGGTTGGGCAAAATCATCTAACACAAAGCCTATTTTATAATAAAGTGTTGAATACTATACACAGATGCGTGTTTTGCAGACGCAATGGGATGTACAGACTCAAAACTCAACATCCAAACATACTGCTACCCAGGAGATGATCAAAATTCGAAGTACGGTTTCTGCCACAGGTGAATCGTTTTTGCACCATTGTAAAGTCAAAAAATCATGAGGCGAACCATCATAAGTTAGTGGCTATTTTATCTCCAATGAGGTGATAAGCACACTGAGGACCCGATGGAGTTCAAATAAAGTCCAAAAGTCATGAATGAAGCCTCGGGAACTAGTTAACGGCAGAGACTCTGGGTTTTGAGAGATCAGAACTCCCCATCTGCCTCCTACTGGCCCCTGACTTCCTCCTCTACAAAGGGGAGACCATCGGACTTCGCTTGCACCATTACGGAAAAACTCATCCATTCTTAGCAAGGAGAGACTTCAGCTGAAAGGATGACTGCAAAGGAGAGAAAGAAACTACCACAATAAGGAGATGCCGTGACTGTAAGATCCCAAAGGTTCTGCAAACATCTCGACGGTTACGCGAAAAAGGAGTTTTCTTTCATGGAAAAGAGAAAACTCACCAAGAAAGACCAGGTGTGGGAATGAAAAGGCTGGGATGACCGGACGTGGATCAGAGAATGTTCTTCCCTGACACCAAGCCCATGTATTCTCAGGAGGGGCTGTGTGCTGGCTCAGGCTGAGGGGACAAGGGCAGGAGAAGGCAGAGACTCCTAACCAGAGTCTGGTTAGCAAGCAACTTGTTCTGATTGATCAGTGCGGCTGAGCAGCTCAACTGTTTATGAGGCAAAAAATAGGAATTTGGAGCGTCTGGTTCTGGCCTTATCCTAAGGGAATGAGGGGGAACAGTGGTTCTTTGCAGTAAGCCATATTCTGGAACATGAGAGCGGGGGAGGGAATTTAAACTTTAAACTGAGCTCAGGTGAAATGCAGTATTATTAATACTCAAGAGGTGGTGGTTGTGTGCATTCAATGAAATGATACACAAAAAGCATTTAGCACACATTCAACAAATACTAGCTGCTTTTATGTTTAGTTAACTATTGTTTACTTTCAGGATAGTATAGAACTGCAGCCTGCCCAACACCCAGGCCCTGGACTGAGACCAGTAGCAATCTACAGCCTGTCAGGAGCCAGGCCGCAGGGCAGGAGGTGAGCAGCAGGCAAGCACAGGAAGCTTCATCTGTATTTACGGCGCTCCCCGTTGCTGGCATCACCGCCTGAGCTCCGCCTCCTGTCAGGTCAGCGGCGGCATTAGATCCTCATAGGAGCGCGAACCATGCTGTCAACTGCGAAAACAAGGGATCCAGGTTGCAGCTCCTTGTGAGAATCCAATGCCTGGTGATCTGAGGTGGAGCTGGGGCGGTGATGCTAGTGCTGGGGAGCGGCTGCGAATACAGATTATCATTAGCAGAGAGGTTTTATTGAACAATAAATGCAATGCCCTTGAACTACCCCAAAACCATCACGTCCCCCCACCGTCTGTGGAAAAATTGACTTCCATGAAATGGGTCCCTGGTGCCAAAAAGGTTAGGGACTGCTGCCATAGCAGGATAAATATTAGAGCCCAGAGGTCAAGAACGGGGTAGAGACATTCTGACCCTGTTTTGCAAATAGATACGTAGCCTGGGAGTGGGTCTGTGTTTAGCCAGGGAGGCGCAAGGCGCGGCTAACCCACACTGAACTCGCTCTCTGTTCAGCCCCCGGACATTCTCACATCATCTCTGGAAAGCAAGACAGGTCCTAAGCTTAAAATGCATTCAACATAGACCCTTGCAATTGATAAGGTAAAAGGAAAAGAAAGCAAATATACAACCCCCATCCTGATCCACCCAAGAATCAGAAGGACTCAAGGCAGGGCAAGAGAACCAGGAGTTAAACAAAACGTGTTGCAGAAAATTCTCCATCAACTTCTTGTCCTCTGCTATAATCAGCGGCACGCAAACCTGTTTTAAATTTACTGACAGCTTAAGCTGCCACCCAGCTCTTGAGGTATTTTTAGTCAAGTAGAAATTCATTTAGAGCCTTGAGTCAGGAAATGGGAGCCAGTCAGGTGTCGCTCTCCCAGGATTCCGGGTCCTGCCCTTGATCTGTCTTAGTCACCCCTGCGCATTTCCACACAATTAAATAATCACTTTACCCCCCACCTCTCTGGCATCTTTAGCATCTCCTCATGGCAGGGGGGACAGGAAAAAAAACAAAAAAATGCCAGGGAAGTCAACTCTAGGTTTAAGAGATCTGTTCTTAATCCGAGCATCATTTCCAGCAGCGGAAACAGACCCGGGGGGAGGAGGTTGCAAGGAAAACAGGCCCAGAGCCACACTGAAAAAGAGCAAATCCTTCTTTCCCCGCTCGAAACAGACTTATCCAATAAAGCTGCGGCTCTGTCTACAGCAACACGCTGCCAGGAAGGACGCGGCAGACAGAGGAGGGAGGAAATTAAAACAATACCGCGGGGCTGGCAGCAATATGCAAAGGTAGAGACAGCAGTGACGGCGCCCAGGCCCAGCGGGCAGGAGCACCCTTCCTTCCTGCTGCGCCCCCACGGGCGGCCCCCACGGCCAAGCCACCGCCATCACCGGCAAGTCCAACAGGATGTGCCCAGTGCCGTCCAGTCCTGACCTTGACCCCGCCGCGCCACTCTAAGTCACCATCATCTCAGACCCCAACATCCCTCCACAGCCCAGGGCCCCTTCTCTTTCTAGCAGCTGCCGGAGGGACCTTTATAAAAATACAAAGCAAATAACACACCACACAGCAAACCATAAATCCAGCACGCCACCCGGACCATCCCGTCTCACTGGACGTAAAACCTGAACTTCTCACCCTCGATCACAAACCCAGACAGGCACTTACCCCTACACCTGCTTCCAGAGCTCGTCTCACTCCACTCTTCCTTCTTCCTCTGGGCTCCAGTACCGGCTACCTTCTCTTTCTAGAACATTCTATTCTCTCTGCTACCCCACCTTATCGCTCACCCCAGGCCTCTTCCCTCTGCCTGGAAGGCTTTTTCTCTAAGTTTTCACATGGTTTCCTCTGGCCATTTGGGTCTTAGGCCAAGTGTCACCTGCCAGGAGGGCTCTCCTGCAGCCAACCTCTTCATCACAACATCCTACTCTAATTCCGCACCATTCCAGATCTGCTGGTGCCTTCTTGATCTTGGACGTCCTAGACTCTAGAACTGTGAGAACTAAATATGTTTGTTATTTAAGCCACCTGGTCTATGATAGTTTGGTCATAGCAGCCCTGAACTAAGACAAAAACTGGTATCAAGAAGATACTGTATAACAAACGCCTAAAAATGCAGAAGGGGCTTTGGAACTGGGTAATGGCTAGAGGATGGAAGGATTTGAGGTATATGGTAGAAAAAGCAAATATTGCCTTCAGGGGATTTTTTTTTTTTTTTTTTTTTTTTGAGACAGAGTCTTGCTCTGTTGCCCAGGCTAGAGAGCCATGGTGTCAGCCTAGCTCACAGCAACCTCAAATTCCTCATCCTCCTGCCTCAGCTTCCCGAGTAGCTGAGATTACAGGTGTGTGCCACCACACCCAGAAAGTTTTTTTGTATTTTCAGCAGAGACGGGGGTCTCGCTCTTGCTCAGGCTGCTTTTGAACTCCTGACCTCAAGCAATCCTCCCACCTCAGCCTCCCAGAATTCTAGGATTACAGGAGTGAGCCACTGTGCCTGGCCACCATGAAGGGACTTTTAAAGGTGATTCTGGCAGGGGTTCAGCAATAGTAGAGTTGTAGAGAAAGTTTCTGTCTTTGTAAAGAAGACATAAGTAATTGTGGACAGAATGCTGGTAGACCCACGGACAGTAAAGGCCACTCTGATGAGGTCTCAGAAATGAGGAACGTGTTCTCGGACCACAGAGAAAAGGCACTCCTTGCTAGGAAGTGGCAAAGAACTTGGCCGAACCGTGATGCTGTTCTAGTGGTCTGTGGAAGGTAAAACTTCCAAGTGACGAACTGGGACGTTCGGCGGAGGAGATCTGCAAGCAACGTGTTGAAGGAGAGGCTTGGTCCCTCCTGACAGCTTACATGCTAAAATGCGAGGAGAGAGAAAGAATTGAAGACAGACTTGTTAAGCAAAAAGGAACTAGCAGAACGAGTAAGTCTGGAGAATTCTCAGCCTATCCATATTGCAAAACATGAGAAGTGTGCTCAGAAGAGAACACTAAGGTGCGGCCACCCAGCCTACGGTATTTTTGCCGCACCTGTCCTAACAGGCCAGCCGGCCGGCTGAGACAGAACCCCAGTTCCGAGGGACGTGGAGTGTGTCTCACAGCCACACACACACACACACACACACACACACACACACACGCCCCGTCTTCCCACGATCCGCCAAGTCAAGCCCCATCAGCTTTTGTTGTCTAGGCTCTCGGAGGGGCTAAGGTGCCCGAGTCACTCCAACAGGCAGGTGAGTACCGGGGAGCACTGCCCCGGAGGCGGGCGGCGGCGGCCCCATCCTTGCGGACGTCTGCCATGACTCCAGCCAGCCCGAACGATGCTCCGGAGCCTCTATGTCTGACCACGGCGGGGGACACCGTGTCTGGAGGTAGACAAGGCCGCCCTTACGGGGAACAGCAGAGCAGGGTGGTGTGACGCTCCGGTTCTGGAGCTAGACCGCCAGGGCTTGCAGGCCAGCAGAGCCACTCACGAGCCGTGTGCCCTTGGGCACATCATTTAACCTCTCTGTGGGTCAGTGTACGTACAGGGGAAAGGTCAGAGCCTAATCTGCAGAAGAGGTGGAAGTGTCGAATGAGACAGACGGTACAGAAAGCACCTGTCACAGTGCCGGGCACGCAGCAACGACTCCACGTGAATCATCATAATCATTATCGCTCCCCGTTACGAAGCCCTGAGCTCTGCTTGCAGGACACCACAGGCGCCCAGTTAAACGGGGGCCGAGCTTCTAAACCAGATAAATCAGCGCGGGATCATCCGCCGCACAAAGGGTTCCCACTGGGGACTCCTTTGGCTTCTCAAATAGGAATCGATTTACCATATTGACACGGAGTCCGCCGGGGACGCTGCGGGGAAGGGCTCAGATTGCGCGTGTCCTCCGTCCCTCTCGTGTGTTCACGGGTTAACGGGAGGCTCGGCTCGCCGTCCCTGCGAGCAGCCGAGACAGGCCGCGATGGTTCACGAGGCGCCGTGGCACACAGATCAAAGTCGTTACGGGGCCTGTCAGGTTTTAGGGCCGCTAAGAGAGAACCAGATGTTCAAGAGCGGCCCCTTGCAAGCCCGAGCCAGACCTTCCCACCCCCAGGCGTCAGCTGCCAAATTCTCATCACAAGGGAACAAAAGCGCCCGCTTGGAAAAGTCTGCTCCAGGAGGACCGCTGGGGTCTATTTGGAAACGCTCACAAAGCAGCATTTTTAGACAGACCCGTCCTGTACGGGTCTGCAAAACCCGAAACAAAGCCTGCCACTCGCACAGTGACTCCTGAGCACGGCCTTCAGTCGGACCCTCTGGCTGGGCACCGAGGAAACGCAGAGATAAAAGGAAACATCTGCTGGCTCAGCCAGAGAAGCAGAGTTTACTTTAACATCGTGTGAAGGCGAAGCTCTGCCTTCATTAGCTGGGTGTCCCTGGGCCAGTTGCTTGGCCTCACTAAGACTCAGTCTCCTCATCTGTGAAATGGGGATAGTGGCAGGACCATCCCCATAAACTCATGAGAACTGAGTCAAGTACAAATGAAGGGCTTGGAACAGCTCCTGGCACTCAGTAAACGACTGTAGCAGGGGGCTAAGTTTGGGGTGTCAGGGTAGCACATAAAAGAGGTATCCAACTAGGGAATCAACAAACTATGACAGTCCATGGCCAGATCCTGCTGGTGGCCTGTTTGCATAAATAAAGTTTTACTGGGACACAGCCACGCCCACTTGCTTACATGCTGTCTCTGGCTGCTTTTCCATGGCAGAGGGCAGAGTTCAGCAGTTGCCAAGGAAACTGAATGACCCTCGACATCTAAAATTTTGCTATCTGATGGTTTAACAAAAGGCTTGCCAACCCCTGATCCAATTCGGTTCCCGAGATCAGGGAAGGCTCACTGGAAGAGGTGACAACCTAACGTTCCGTGGGTCCGTATTAATTCTTGCCTTTCATGGAGTTCTTGAGGGCGATGCGCAGACCACGTGGTTTAGGTAACAGACAGGAAACAAGCTTCACAGCGGAGAGAACCAAGGTTCAGAAAGGTTAATCGACTTTCCTAAGGGTGGAAAAGTGACAGAGTTGGACAGGAAGCGTGGCCATCTGAGCCTAGCTCACGGCCCCTCTGCAGACATGCAGACAGAAGAATCCATCAGTCACCACTACCATTTTTCTGGGGCACGTTAGTTTGCAGGGCGCCTCCACCTACCCGGGGCTCGCTCGGCCAGAGGATGCGGAAGTTCTCGGATCCGCACAGGCCGAGCGAAGGCTGAGCAGCAAACAGTCATCGAAGGACTAACAAGGCAAGAGGCTAAAACTCCAGAAAGAGGACGACCAGAAGGAAGCAGGTCTCAAGGGTCAGAGTCAGCAAATCCCCCAGATCCAACAAGCACTGATTGATTAAGCACCTCTGCTGGAAGCAAGACCCGAAAGAGACCCAGCTCCCTCCTGGGTCTGGGAATGTGGGCAGGGCGTTACCTGCACGACTGACCGAGACTGCCGGGCAGCCACGCTGAAATCCGGGTGGCCTACAGGCAGGTACGGGGCCTATTACTCGGGACACCCGTGGACTTGTGGATTTGACTGGGTAGGAGTGATTATTTCCAGGGAGTAGGTGATGGGTAAACCTCGACCTCTGGATGAGACATCCATTTCTTACGGCTGCTGTGACAAAGTGCCATGTTAGCAGGTGGCTTAAACAACGGAAATATATCACCTCTCACCCCTGGAGCCCAGAAGTCCGAGATCAAGGTTCTCCCCGCGTGTGTGTCCGTATTTCCCCTTTTCATAACGACACCAGCTTAGGGACCCACCCCACTTCAGTGGGACCTCGTCTCTGCTAACTACACTCCCGACAACCCTCTTTCCAAATCGGGTCAAATTCTAAGGGGCCTGAAGTTGGGACTTCAAGATGTGAATCTGGGGAACTGGACACAGTTCAGCCCAGAACAGATGACCAACTCAAGGTCACAGGGAAACCTGGGGACAGGGGCTGCGGCGCTCGAGGCCACCTTCGAGTTTCCTGCCTACGAAGAGTACAGACCTGGGTTCTCTCCCTGGCCTTTCGGGGCAGAATGGGAGTCCCAGGAGGTCCCGATTGCTGCCAGGAGGATCCCGAGAGTTGAGGGAGGCATGTAGACAACTCCAGGCACCCCGCGCCGAGAGCAGGAGGGAAGCCCTTCTCCCTTCCCACTGCACTGTGCAAAACAGAAAACTCAATTTACTTAAGAACAAACAGGCTTTAACCTGAAGTTCACTCTCCTGCTCGGTGATTTCCCAGCATCTACATGAGGAGCAGCTGCCAGCATCAGCCACGGCCGCACTCTCCGAGAGACCTATATTGGGAAAATAATGGCATTTTCTCAACAAATTATCTCACAGCTGAAGTAATAACTTGTTTATAGATATGCCAATTCAGATTTCTATCCCCTTAACCTGCCGCTAAAAGAAAATCAGAGTCGTCGCCACAGCAAAATGGCAGCAGTTTAATCACCTATGCGTCCCCAACCTCCCTGCCCCCCCGCCACGCACGGCTGCGCCTTTATTAATTTTAAGGCATTGACACAGTCTCTTTGGAAACTATGTTTTTCCCCATCTCAGGTCAACATCCTCCTGCTTCGTTATAATAAAATACACACTGCCAGAGATAAAGCAAATAATATTTCTTTGGGAAAGAAAAACAAACACAAAACAGAACCACTGTGCTCTCAACACAAGCACTAAAGATTCGGCCAACTAAGTTCTCAAACAGCTGCCATCAAGTTAACCGGTCCTCGCTGGGGTTCACGCTTGTTGTGTGGCGTGGAGATCACGGCCTCAGACTCTCCCCTGGCACGCAAAGCCTTGTCAGTCTACGGCCAAGGGGGCAGAAGGGCAGGTGCCAACGGAATGAGGAACGCTGGGAGCCACATCAAGCATTCGATCAACAAACAGTGAGTGCAGCTTGCCACGTGCCCGGCGCTGTGTGAGGTGCTGCGCTCCTCAGTGAGTGACACAGACGCGGCACCTGCTGCCCTCGCAGAGCTTACGGCCTAGGAGGGAAGCCAGGCAACCCATCCACCAACCCATCACCCTTCAAAGTCAGCTTGCGATGAAAGGTACAAGCGAAGAAACACAGTTTCTTGTTCTTTCCTTCTCTCTCTCTGTCTCTCTCTCTCTCATACACACACACACACACACACACACACACACACACACACACACACACACGCTCACTCTTCTCTATAACGTATTCCTAAGAGTCAATTCTTTAGC